AGAGATCAGTGGAAGGAGGAGAAAAAAAGTAGAGATATAGACTGTGAGTGAGAACCTGAAGAACCCATATATTGATGAAAATGAAAACCAAAAACTAGAGAAGAGAGACAGACAGGTCCCCAGAGAGCCATACCTGACAGGGTTGACACTGACAAGATGAGTGACGACATGACACAAGGAAGTAGAAGAAGGCTGGGAAGCTAGAATGGAAATACTAGACATGGATTCAGCGGGCTGAAGAATAGGAGCAGAATGGAGGTTGAGACAAATGAGAAACCACAGTAGAAAATGAAGACTGATGCCATGCTACCTCAAACCAGGTTTACAGTTAGTCAGAAACACCCCCAAAAACCTCTGGGCAAAGAAATGGAGCCTAATTAAGATTATGTAGATAAACATGATGGAGGCATACAAGAGCATCCTGTCCAAATGCCAGAGGAATCAAGTAAGGAGGGACGGAGTACAAAAATTACAGGCCAATGTGGTAAATAGAAGAGAATGAACCTCTCGATAAAAACTCTATAGATCATGATCAAGAGCATCAAACATAAGGTGAAGTGAAAAGAGGTAATGCAGGAGGGTGGTAATATAGAGACAAAGTTATGAAATTTGGGCACTAGAAAGGGAAGAAGTTGAGGGGTCCAAAGCAAGTAAAAGAGATTCCGTTGACTGGGAATCGAGGAATGGAAATGAAGAATGGCTGTAATCCAGGACAAAAGATTCAAGAAGACAAAGAGGGCGAGTCATGTTAGTACAAGTGCACAATTGTTCAAGAAATGATACTGCATGGACACTAATGTCAGGTGAAGGAGGGTAGTAATCTTGAGTATGGGTTTCATGTAGTAAAGTATGGATGGAATCAAAAGACACAGAGGAGAGAGAAAAACATACCTAAAAAATCATGTCAAGTAGCCCCCAATAACCACAGTTCCCATATTAGAAACATTGTCACTAACACGGGACTAAACATAAATTACCATCACTTGAAAATTTGTAATGACAGGAATTTTTTTGTGTCCTAATGAAAATTAAAGACAAAAACATGATGGTTATGTGAATCACAAACACTAAACCAGACAAACGTAAAAGAAATTCAACTCTGTAAGAAATCATCACAAATCTCAAGTAACTGATTAACAATTTTGAAAGATGTTAATTTTAAACAATGTTGAGGAGAAGAATGAAGTTATTTGAAGCACAAATGCTTAGGGTGAGCTACTGTGCAAGTAGGTTGTGTCATCGCCCTATTGGTAGAGGGCTATTGTTACACAGTGATATCATCATGAACTAGCACAATTCATGTAAAACACCTGTTTTTTTTTAGGTGGGAGTTAGTTCCAAGCTAGTGGCATGCAAGTCTTATAGTCAGATGCACAAGCTATTCTATATGCAGAGAAGTATAATCTTGGAATATATAGTTGCCATGATTATGAAATATTTCTTAGTAAGTGCTGGTATGGGAGTTGGTATCTTGCATAAACATCTTCTCCATTTTTATATGAAATCTGATAAAATCACATACAAACATTATGGTGATGACATTGTCTCTATAAACTGATAAGGGCATATAAGTTATACAATATATTATCAATCATACTGGTGAATAATGTGTTAATGATAAATATATCATTATGATCTTCATGCAGTAAGTGTATTTTATCTTCTTTTAATTTTGTTAAAGAAAGCCATTAGCCATGACAGAAGTTTCAAGTTTAAATAAAAATGGTTGACTAATAATCAAGTATGTTGAATTTAGGAACTGTTTAGAGTAATTTCATCATATAAATGTTGCTAAAACTGTAGAAGCACTGCTATTTGCACAGAATATTTATGAATTTACTGTAAAATGTCACAAGCTTTCCCTTGACTGTATCTAGTGGTATAAATGCCATGATTCGTACACTATAATTTGAAGTGATACATAACAATTATCCCTGACTTTGTTATTAAACTAAAAGTACTGAATTAATTAAAACTAATTCTAATTTAGATCTTTTCATTCTAGCATTTGTTTTTGGATTTTTTTTATCATGTTTCTCCCAGCTGTCTTACACATAATTCTGAATTGTATAGGTTTACATACAATTTGTATCAATTCTGCTAGTTTGAATTAAAAGTAAAATTAAAACTATTATTTAAGCTTTAGTGGTTTACAAAGTCTTTCTGACACCAGAGTTAAATGTGTAGAATTTGGTTTGGGAAAAAATTACATCACTAGTCACATCACATTACATATTTTAATTTATTTTTATATCTAACATTACACTGAAATACATCGAAAATGATGATAATAATAATGTAACAACAGAGCAGGAAATGTCTGAAGAACAACAACAAAATGTATTGTGTACAATACATGCAGCAGTAAATACAAGACTGGTTGGTTATTTCAGGTTATTCTCAAAAGCTACACCTTGTCTCTCAGATCTTGAACCTAGTCCTTACAGAGTTGTAGAATTATACATTTACAAGATGAAGACAGGTGTTCATAATGACAGAGCAGCTACAGCAGTACCAGTAACAATGAAAGCATACACTGTAGTATTGAAAGCTGTACTGTTTACACAGTGAGCTAAGAGCTGAGTGCAGATGGGTGAGAGAGAGATTTTCAAAAACATTCATGTTAGGCTACAGTTAGTAGAATATTATTTAACAAACATACAGAATTATTATAATTATTTATATGTATATATTTGTATCATTGTAATAACAATGCTAACATCTATAAGTAAATAAGAATTTTTATGGTAAATAATGTACACAAGATTTACAGATCTACAATGAACTAACATTACAATATTTGTGGGTCTTGAAGAATTGACTAGAAAAGGAAGTATTACATTAATAGAATAAATAACATTATATGAAAAGGTGTGTGTCTTACTCTTTAAAACAGAAATTCTACAGTCAATTACTCCATAAAAGGTTAGTTTTAATGAAGTTTTTTCTCATGAGCTTTCTTTGTAGGCCTATTTTATCTACACACCACAACACTCTGTATAAAAATTGATACAAAAGAAAAGTTATATTTAAACTGTTAAAGTAGCCTTAATTAAAATTATATATATATATATATATGTGTAAATTTTGAACATGATATTTGAACAGGTTTATATATTTTTGTCAAAGCACTTGCACATAAATGATTACACAGAAACAATAATCAAGATATTAATGAACAACATAACCTCATAAAACATATATTAATTTTATTCTTGATATCAGGTAAATACTTTCCATAGATAGCACAAAATCTAAAAAAAAAACAAAAGAAAACCTTTACCACCTCATTAAAGAGCACTTTTTGTAGCTTAAAGATTAGAAGAAAAAAAAAAAGAATTTAAAACCTTACTGAAAGCATTATTCAAACCTGTTAGAATGACTTCATAATTACATTCTATGTTTCAAAAGTTAAGTAATAAACATAAAGCCTGTCTTTTATCTAATAAAGAAAAAACTATGATTTAAAAAAAGTAATTATAGCCAATAAGGTTCACAAAACATATTAAAACAATAACACAAATCCACATTTATAAAAGAGATGTGTAAAGAAAAAATCATACAATTAAAGCTGATATTGTACATCATAGATGAGTTTATTAGTTCTCAATTAACAACACATTAACTTTCACCTCAAAGAGGTGTGTGAAACACTTGCACAAAATTATATATATACGCACACACACTCACGTACACCCATAGCTCTGATGTGCTGAAGCAAGTTCCTACTTTTGTAAAATATCTTTAAAAAAACAAAAACATTCTGTATACAACTCAAAGCAGCTACCTTGCTAAAAACTAAGTAGATTAATACTAGAATTCACCATGAAAATCATAAAACTTTGGAATGCTAATACCCTATAAAAACAGGTTTCACATTAAAATTTAATAGATTGGTGGAACTCTCTTTTTCAGTTCCTATGCATTTATCTCCCCCATCATTTTGTAATAAATGTATGTATATTTAGAACACAGGTGACATGATAAAAGAAGAAACAAATCTCTCTGGTTTCAAGTATACATGTTTTCAGAAATATTTTAATTATGAGGTACTATGGGAACATATTTCTCATTTTAGTTATAATGGATTAATCAATTATTTCTTCAGCATACGAATGGACATTAAATAATTTTCATTGCTCTGAAATATTGGCCCAAACATTGAACAAATAAAAAACACATTGGAGTGATTACTCATTCAGTACTAACCGTAACTGACAAAAATCAAAGTTTTAATGAGCAAATTTATGAAAGATGACTAATTTTACAGCTGTATATATATATATTATAAGAGCTGAATTCCAAAATAAAAATAATCTTAAATAAGAATGAAAATATAATATTTTCTTATATTCTTTGTGATTTAGTTAGCAGTGCCATAAACAAGTCCCAAGACAAACACACATGGTAAAATAACTTACAACCTCTAAAAATAATATTCTAGGTCTCCTTGGACCAATATTTAGCATTGTTTCTAATTAGAGTGAAATATTATCTGTACAAACAAATTTTACAACATTAGTTTCTAGTATATGGTAGCAAATTTGCATACAACTATTTTGATAAGATTATCAATTCCAGTGTACACACACACAAATATTGAGCTATTTAGCATCATACTACTACTACAACAACAACAAAAAAAAAAAAGACCAAATACTGTACTTATCAAAACTAGCGCCATCTGTTGGAAAATAAATATTTCTCTCAGAAACATAGTAACTTTCTAAATAGTATGCAATTCAAAGATCATAAACTTAACTGTGACAAAACTGAAGTAACATATAAGAATCATGCAGTCTTTATTAAAAACATTAAAAATAAAATATTTCTAATGTGACCTAAATAAACAGTATAAAACTGATATTATCTATTAAAGGCTTCAGACAATTTTTTTAAATCTTATTTAATATGTATTAGCACTTTACCTAAATATCTTAGACTTGAAATACTAGCCTATATTAAATGAATTTTATTATATATTTAATGTTTCATGTTACTTAGACACATTCTTAACACCTGCAATGTTGGCAACACTTTACGATTAATTTTAAAATGTTTTTTTCTGTATATGAGCAGTTAAACAATTTATAATACAAAGAATGCCAAAAATAATTTAGACACAGTTAGCTTAGTACAAGTTCTTACAAATATTTGATATCATAAATCATGCTTGCTATTTTCCACAACAACCTATATTTATTAATCAATAACAGTGAAGTCTTTCTTTGTCATATTTCATCAGAATAACCTGTTCTTACTACGTTTTAAGTAATTTTACAATCAGAATTTTATTATTTCATAATTAATAAAAACAACTTGAGTTACTAAGGTCAGATGGTTTTTACTTATACTGGTCCTACTAAATAAAAAATGCTATTTTGCAAAGCAACATTATAACTACATATATAATAGTTAATGTGTATGTGTACATTCTTAGACTTGTCCTACTAAATAAACAATGCTATTTCTTAAAGCAACAACATCACTAGATCTATTATGGTTAGTGTATGTATTTAGGTTGGTCCTGAAAAATAAAAAAATGCTATTTCTTAAAGCAACAACATAACACTATGGTTATTGTGTATACTTAGATTGGTCCTATTAAAATAAGGAATGCATGTATAATATAAAGCTATAAAATATTTAAACTGATTTTTAATTGAATTGTCTATGATCAAAAAATGTATATTTACACTACATTTGTACTTAATATTGCATGTTTTGTATTCATTTCTTTTCAGATATTCATGCAAAGCTAATCAAGCACTATCAGTGATAGACTAGAGAAAAGGCATTTAGCCAATAGCACCCACCACACTAACTTATCTGACTGAATAGTGTAATATGATCATCATCTTTAAAATAGATGCATGCTTTCAAATTGTGAAATATGATTTTGTATTGCAATAATAGGATGTGATTGATGAGCAGCAAACCCATAAATCCAGCATGCTAACCACTGGGCCACTCTCGACATTCTACTCAATAAACAACATTTTGTAAAGCAATAATATAGCTGGATCTATAGTAAATTATAGATTGGTTTTGCTAAATTTCTTGTTTTTGTAATGAAATAATGAACTGTACTGGCTGTAGGCACAAGATTTAATTCAGTGATGTAAATTATTTTATAACAAAAGAAGGTAACTAGATCTATTGTAGTCACATAGTGCATAATCAATCAAATTCAGCGATATATACGTAAAAGTTTTAACAAATATAATGACAAGTTGCTGTGATCTAGAACAGAGATATAACAAAAGTAATTAAGTTATTACAACGTAATAATAATCCTTCTGTAGTCTTGCAATGGAGTCTTACTTAACAAATAATTCTTTAACACGTACAGTGACATCAATGACTGTGTATCTGTCTTATCTAACAGTAGTATGGTAAAACAAATTCAATACCTAATGCAACATATGTTTTTTAAATGTTGTAAAGGCATTAAAATACTGATATCTTTCTTGAAGAAGATTGGTGCCATGTATACATGATCAACATCATCACTTTATTAGTAGTTTTTCTGATAATGAGTGATGTTTTCAAGTTCCTAATCATTTAGAATAGACAAAGGATTAAGAAGTAACCTCCACACACTTAACAGAAGTAATATATACATATACAACTGTAACAGGATATCTAATGTTCTCAACAAAAGTGCTACACATGATAAAAATAATGTGATACATTTGTTCTTGTTTCAGCTATTAGAGATACTATCAATGGATAAAAAATGTATCATACAGGTGTCTCAGTGGCATTTGGTCATTGTTACTTTAACTGCAAATTTGTAGAGAAAAGCTGTATATGAATGATCATGTGTACATAAATACTAACTATGCATTACACATCTGTACATAATAACTAACTATGCATTCTTTTCAATGGTTTCAGGGAGCATGCTGCAAGGTTAGTCAACTAAAACAGACTGTGATGTAGAGGAATTATGAAAAATAGCTCCACAACTTTAATATGTAACATAAATACAGGAATATAGAAAAAGTAGAATCTCTTAATACTGTTACTTTATTCACATCTCATTGTAGCTTTTGTAATACAATGGACTTTTTGAAACAGATTTTATGATATTCAGGAATTGAGTTTGGTGTTTTACAGTAAGGACATGATAATAATTTTTATTCTATAGAACACTTAAACAAGATTGTAGATAATTAATCTTTAAAAAGTGACAATAGGCCTAATGAAGTAACCAAGATCTTTAGTCCAGCTTGACAAAAATGACAAAATATAAAAAAACATATCTTTAAAACAATAATACTAAAATCAGGAGCCATGTTGGCTCACAAGTTCTCTCTCCCCTCTAATGTCACTAGTATTTCTCATAAATCTAGAATACAAGTAAGCAATCTCCTGAGCCAGCAAGAAATTACATTAGTGACAAAGCTATCTTTGAATAAATTCATGCAAGTTTCCCATTGACCAGCCTTAACCTTTGGACTGTTAAAAAAATAGTAGGAATGAATCAAAATTCCTTTAGCAATTCTCAAGCCGATATGCTGAACACTTAGAAACAAATTTCATTATAGGAGTATCTTAGAAGTAATGAAAACACATCTCTACAAAGGTATATATCTTGACCACATGTAATGAACTGATAGTAAACTTGTTTCCAAATAGAAGTATCTTTACCAGATGAAATGACTAGCCAGTAAACATGTCTCTACATAGGTATATATTAACCAAATGTACTGACTGTAAAGTAAACTTGTTTCCAAATAGAAGTATCTTTACCAGATGAAATGACTAACCAGCAAACATGTCTCTACATAGGTATGTATTAACCACATGTAATAAACAGATAGTAAACTTGTTTCCAAATAGAAGTACCTTTACCAGATGAAATGACTAGCCAGTAAACATGTCTCTACATAGGTATGTATTAACCAAATGTACTGACTGTAAAGTAAACTTGTTTCCAAATAGAAGTATCTTTACCAGATGAAATGACTAACCGGTAAACATGTCTCTACATAGGTATATATTAACCAAATGTACTGACTATAAAGTAAACTTGTTTCCAAATAGAAGTATCTTTACCAGATGAAATGACTAACCGGTAAACATGTCTCTACATAGGTATATATTAACCAAATGTACTGACTGTAAAGTAAACTTGTTTCCAAATAGAAGTATCTTTACCAGATGAAATGACTAGCCAGTAAACATGTCTCTACATAGGTATGTATTAACCAAATGTAATGACTAGATAGTAAACATTTCCAAATGGAAGAAACCTTACCAAATGTAATGACTAGCCAGTAAACATGTCTCTACATAGGTATATATTAACCGCATATAATAAACAGATAGTAAACTTGTTTCCAAATAGAAGTACCTTTACCAGATGAAATGACTAACCAGTAAACATGTCTCTACATAGGTATGTATTAACCAAATGTAATGACTAGATAAAAAACATTTCCAAATGGAAGTACCTTTACCAGATGTAATGACTAGCCAGTAAACATGTCTCTACATAGGTATATCTTAACCAAATGTAATGACTAGATAATAAACATTTTCAAATAGAAGAAACTTTACCAGATGTAATGACTAGCCAGTAAACATGTCTTTACATACATATATCTTAACCACCTGTAATGACTAGATAATAAACATTTCCAAATATAAGAAACTTCACCAGATGTAATGACTAGCCAGTAAACATGTCTTTACATACGTATATCTTAACCACCTATAATGACTAGATAATAAACATTTCCAAATATAAGAAACTTTACCAGATGTAATGACTAGCCAGTAAACATGTCTTTACATACGTATATCTTAACCACCTATAATGACTAGATAATAAACATTTCCAAATAGAAGAAACTTTACCAGATGTAATGACTAGCCAGTAAACATGTCTTTACATACATATATCTTAACCACCTGTAATGACTAGATAATAAACATTTCCAAATAGAAGAAACTTTACCAGATGTAATGACTAGCCAGTAAACATGTCTTTACATACGTATATCTTAACCACCTATAATGACTAGTTAGTACACATGTTTCCAAAGAGAAGTATTTTTTATCAGATTTAATGACTAGCCAGTAAACATGTCTAATAAAGGAATATCTTAAAGCGATGAATACAAGCCTACTAAGGGTTACTGAACAATTAAGATATTTTCCAATGGTCTCCTATTTTCCAACACTTGCTGCTTACCTATGTAATGGTCAGGGATCCAAAATAATGCATGAAACTGTAGGCAAGCATCTTAAAACATGTCCCATAATGCCAGAAATGAGCAATACTTTTCTCAGCTTTGTGCACATCTCTTTAGCCAAATATAATGACTAGTAAGAAACGTGTCCAATTAGGTACATAAAACAATATGTAATGAATAGCCAGTAAACACATCTTACAAAGGAATCTAATAAAGACTAACCAGTAGTGAAGTCTCCATATGGCAAGACTTTATTTAAAATTAATGATTAGTCAGTAAACACATTTATTTAGGAATATTTTAAATAGATGTAATGAACAAAACACTGAGAAACTAAACTTTACTTAAAAAAATCTTTCACACAGTAAATTCCCATACGTTAACAAACTAGATCACCAAGAGAAACTTGAAACAACTGAAAAAAACACAGTTAACCCTTTTTTTAAAGCTAAACTAGGATCTACACAATTATCTTTATACAGCTTAAAAAACAAATGAAAATGCTACAGGTCTTACTTTTGGAGTTATCCAGTTCTTGTTTCTACCAAAACAAAAGACCACTGTTCCTTCATCAGGAATTATATAATAATGTCTCCTAATCAATTTTCAAGTAAATTAAAACAATAAAACAAAATCAGGAATGTACATGTAAGAAGACCTTAATGACAGTAAATATATATATATATATCAGAAAACTCTCAAATAGGGTAGCCTTTCTTCTAGTGTAGTTTTAAACTGTAAATAATACAATGTCCCCCCCCCCCTTGAAGACCTAAAGAAGGTCTTCCTACAGTAGCTGTTCTTTCTGGGATATATAAAACACAGGTTAAGATCACAATTTTTCCTTTGAAAGGTAAAGGAATAAGGTCTACCAAGTTTGTTTTTTACAGAAGCTTCCTAAAAGAAAGATGATCAAAACTCTTTTAAAGAGGATGCGCTCAAGTAGAGATAATATCTAATTAGCTCTTTCATTTAAGAAAAGCTTCAAACAAAATGAAAGATTCAATTACAGTCTACTAATTAACCAATTCTTTTTTCATGGCTTCAAACAAGAAGAGACGAAACCTCTATTACAAATGACTCAAAGAAAAGGTCCTTAATCATGGTTTTCCACAAACAATGAAAATATAAAGTTCACATTTTTCTCTTTGAGAATATTTCACTTATGCAAGTGAATACGTATTTCCATATAAAAGAATGTAAGGACACCAATATCCCTTAAGGAAGAAGTAATATCCAGCTCTTCTGTCAGTGAAGTCTCACATAAAAAAACAAACTTGAGAGACTACACAGAACTGTAAAGGAAACTTTTATTTTAATCTGCTCTCTTCATGCTAGGAATCCATCTCAAAGATGATAATTATAAACATTTCCTTTCTCAATCTCTACTTTTGTGTACAAAAGCTTTCATTCAGAATAAATATCATATTTCTACTAGAACAAATTCAATGCAACATATATAAGAAATTTCAATTCCACTTGATTTTCACCTTCTATGGTCTATGGTTGCAACACAACTCATGTACATAAAAGTTTAGGGAGCTATTTTTTTCTTTCTGTTCAGGCAAACAATTGTGATAATCATTAAATACAATGATTTCTCCTATTCAACAAAAAATACACTTTTTTTTTACATCACAGTCAATATTGGATATTACAGCTATAAGTGAAATATATAAATATATATATATATATACAAAACAAAAACGAATTTAAAAATGACACATCTACAAAGAAGATGATAATGAAAGTAGGTTTTCATAAAATTAATAACAAGAAAAAAGAGAAAAGAATAAGAGAATCATGCTTTAAAAACAAAGTAAAAGATGCAGTGAAAGGTTCTGTGTAAGCTTGGATGATAAATTAATGCAGTAAGTAGTAGCAAGGGCTCTTAAAGATCAGAGCAACAAAAGAAAACATAAAGACAGGGAGCGAGGGTTAAAGTCTGGAACTAGAAGGAACCTGCATTTTGGCTCACGTGACATCACAGCAAACAGAGGAAAGGGCGAGTACTAGAAATTTGCAGCTAGAAGGGACCTGCAGTCTGGCTCACTAGGATGGAGGCAGATGCTCCTGGCTCTGTTCCTGACAGAAGCATGCTGGGCTCCGTGTTCCGCCTCTTGATTTTGCTCTTAGCCTTCTTGAGCATGGTAGCCTACAGGAACGGAGAGCAAGAAAACAGAGATGGGGAGAACAGTAGCACACAGACAGAGAGGACTGAAGCTATGGGGAGTTATACAGCAAGTAATCAAAACTCATAATCAAACAGTTAGTAAAGAAAGGGGGAAAAAAGCTACTTGAAACTGAGCACTATTAATAAAAAGTACATTTTGTATCATTTTAGAACTATAAAAAATGTGATATTAAAATGTAAGATACAGAATATTTTCATTTAGTAAGTACAATTGTATGTATATATATATATATAAATTTAGTTATAGCATATTGTACTCAAATGCCGTAAAAAAATTTGTAAGAGTTATCAATATTGTAGTTACCACATGAATTTGTGGGCACACCGCAATATAAACTTCCTGTAAACTTGTGACTTTAAATTATTAACAAAAACTATTTTAATTGAAGAGTAAATACACTGTTAAAAAATATAAATTGCATGAAAAATCAGTTTTAGATAAAACATTCATTGCCTTGAAAAAATTTGTTTAAAAATAATATAGTAAGTTTTGTCATTATGAACATATTGATTGGACCAAAAATTACTAATTGATACGGCTGGTTACGGTTCCTAAATTTTAGCTTCAAATATGAACTGAAAGTTTGAAAAAAAACATTTTAAAACTTTTTTTTTCACTAATAATTTTGTTGCAAAAAAGGGGAGAAAATAGTAAATACTGAAAATAAAATTGTCCAAAAAGCATGATACAGATGTGCATTTTTATTGGAGTACAAGAGTATATGCTAGTTTTTTGAACTATAAGTACAATAAAAAAATAAAACAGTAATTAAATTAATTTGTTGACTTTATACTCTGTCAAAGTTTTGCCAGTTTTGTATGAATTCTAATATACATCAAACAGTGCCTAACTGATACAAAAATAGCACAGCTGCACAATTTTTTTGCTAATATAAGCATTAGAAATGCTAGTAAATCTCAGAAACTGACACACCATTATATGTGATATAACTGCTTCAGTAGCAATGCTATACACGTTGAGACTGTTAAGCTCTTCAGTTAAAATAAAAACACAACCTACTTCTCAACAAAAAAATTAATTTATGCAAAATTTTCATCATTGCAGCTTCATGAGGGCCAAAAGAACTATGTCTATTCCTATAAATACAACTAAACTAATTAAACTGGCTTATAGGCAAAGTAGCAACTTTAATCCTATTTAACAACTTAATTTTAATACACATACCGTTCTGTACCACTGCCAGATGGATATGAATGACTTAAAGCAACTACTTCATCTATAAGCCTTCTTGAATAAATTTAGAAACTTTACAAAGTTCTTTCATTCCTGTTGAAGGCATACCAGTGAAACACTGATAAAAAAAGAAAACTTTTTATCTTAAGTTATGGGTCATATTTTTATTTCCCCAAAATGGCCAAAACTGTCCAGTCTGCACTACAAACTATAAGTTGTTAAGCTATTTTGTCAGTATCACAATCACTTGTTTATTTCAGTAAAGCTTTGACATGTTTTAAGGCAAAACAGAATCTTAGTTTTTGTTTTGTTTCTGTATTACAAGTGATAAACAGAAAAAAAAATTAGCATAACAATTATTATATTGGATAAGAGAAAATATATGTTTAAGTTAGCTGGCTGTAAATATCGTGATATGAACTGCTTCAATGTATCAGAACTAAACTATCTTAGCAGAAAATACATTTACTGCCCTCGATAAAAATTGAAAATTTAGTAAAAATATGTTTTGATAACATACGGTGTCAAAATATAGATAAAAGAAACATTCTGACAAGAGTAAGAAACACCATCTCTTGCTACCAGATGTGATCATATCACACGTTATAACTACTTTATACTGCTTTAATAAATGTACATACACTGTAAAAAATATTTCAGAAACATCAAGAAAAATTAACTTGCATGGGAACCACAGAGAACTTATTTTTCTTATCTTGTACAAATTCCAAATAATCGTATGTGGTAGTTATACTAAATATATATTCAATGTCTAATCATATTAAAGTAACACAAGATAATGGCTTATACACATACAGGCAATCACCTTCTCATCTGTTATTCTTTTGCTATTCTTTCTACAATTAAATTACTTTTAATGTTTTAATTTATTATCTTGGACTTCTCTCAGTATTCTTGACTGTAAACTACTTTTACATCCTCACACGCATAGTTTTATACCTCTTTATATCATTTTTTTTACATAAATAATAGATAAGTCTTGAAGCTTTCCTCAATTTTCCACCCTAAATTACAATTCGTTTCAAAATGGTTCTTTCAACTTAGTCAGGTTTACATGATGTATTTTCCTACAACCTGTTGTAGCAAGTGAAAAGCACTTGGGTTTAGTGCCTAAAGTCACTTACGTACCGACTGCCTTACATAATTTGTTGTTTTTTTTACCCTTCATTCTTTCTCAAATTTGTGGTGAAGTATTTTGCTGAAATGCCCTTATGAGCATCAATTATTCAGCAATTCAGGTTTAACACAGCATGTATACCAAGTCAGCCAAAAAGTACATAAAATGTTGATATCTGCATAATGTGACACTATGCTATTGCAACATAATTTATATTACCAATCGTTTCCTATATCATCAGAAAAATATATAACCTTTATGATCAACATCCCATCACAACTGCATTGCAAGCTTAATAAAAACTTTGTTTTATGTTAAACTTATTATCATAGCAACATATGCCCATAAGTACCGATTTTGAAAATATTTCTATATTTTTCTTAATGATATTTAATTAACTACAGTATTTTACATTAGTATCTGAAAAATATAACAATTTCTACTGTAATTTTTCAGTCAGACACATCTGCAAAGCAACAGACTCAAAACATAATGTTTGTGTAACCAAGTAGGACAAAAGAAGTGTGTACCTCCAGCAAGAGGATTCATAAATCCATACAGATGGTGCTAGTTTAAATGAACAGTACATACATTTATTCTATCACAAAACTTGAAAAAATTGTGTCTTTTATAGAAAGGGCTTTAAAAAACAACTAAACCTGAATATCTAGAACCATATGCTATACCAAATATTTTAAGATAAAATAATTGTTGGCCTAAGGGGTTTAACAGAAGCACAAGTATTTTGAAACTGAAATATGATGTGCTCAAAAGCAATTCATGAAAGGATACTTTTTCACAAAAATATAGAGATTGTGTTTACAGGTGAAATGGCACATAAATGTAGAATGTAAACATTTTATCATGCAAATTTGAATTCACAAGAAACCAATCAATAAAACGATCGTACACTAAAAATATATATTTAAGAAAATATCTTTAAAAACATAACAGTAAAAGTATAAAACATACACTGCAAAATACATATTTGAAATGTATCAAATTAAAATGAACATTTTAATAGATTATTCAACTTCTTTTTTTTATTTTTTCTAAACAGGAAAAAGAAACAAGATTTGGTTGGTAGGATTTAATTCAGTGTTTTTTATGATGTTACTGCTTTTATGTCAATATATAGTTTTCAAATACTGCATGTTACAAATATAATTCTATAATATGGTACTTTATTTACAATAAAATTAAAGCAATTTGACTAGTGAGTAATATTTACTCAGAAAATCGACTGTAGGCCTTCTGTTGTAAACACATAAGTAACCTAATTTATTTTACTGTTATCATTACTAATATTCATGTTTTACTCTTAGGAATGTACCTTTTCACACAGACTACTTAACACACTAAAAACTGGGATCATTTACATGGTCTCAAAAATTCTTCTAGAGAAAAAACAAGCAAAACTACTTGAGATTAAATAATTTTAAAAACAAACAACTAAAACACACAAGTTTTCTATTTCAATTCAAGCCTGACAATTAATATGTTTTTAAAACAATAGAAAAATATAGACAAAATAACAAAATATTAAATATTTGTAACACATCTAGAAAAATGTCCGGTTTTTGTTGAATGCATATTTAATACCATAAAAACAAGTTTTGTAGGTTGGTAAGATATATACCTAACAGTACAAATGTGAAGTTTTAAAATAAGAAATAACAATGAGACTCAAGAATTTAATCTTAATACCGACTAGAAAGTGAATACCCCAGGAAACTATAACATGACAATTGTACTTTATGAGGTCAGAAATCAAACCTCTACGGCACACTTGTTGAGACAGACCTCACAATCTGAACTATTTGCTGAGGTCTTTGACATTGAGAGAAATATGACCTGCATGAATGAAGCTTCTTTTGTTCACCTCAATGACTACAGAGCCCCAGGGATCACTACACCTAGCTAGGTTTCTTTCTAATTTAACAAATCAATCTTCACAAGACCGTTCTGCACTGGATGAGGCAAGAGCTGATTCTGTATTTCTGCGCTTCATTTTACTTTTCCTGAGCATGGTAGCCTATATAAAGAATTGTTGTTTGTTTCAATGTAACTTTATTAAAGAAACAGACAGAGACCAACTATTGCTGTAGGCTCAAACCTGACTTCTTAACTTATTCTTCACACAGCAGGCATGACCAGTTTTTATGTAATTTATACTTTCTTAAAACATGTATAGTAGGTAACTCATTTAGTTACTTCTATATGTCATTTTTACTTTTTAATTTCAAACATTCTTATATCAAAATGTACGCAGTTTCCTATTACTGTATGTTTTAAACATTGTAAGAATTTACATTTCATAAACATATTTCATTCTTACTAATGATATATCTTCGTAAAACTTTAAGATTTACTAACACAGTGGACAGTTTTTAAAACTATTATCTGTACTAATAAAATAATAACAATGTTAATTTTCTTTTCATTGTGTGTATGGATACAAATTCTGATCTAGAATTCATGAATATGGATAACCAGTGAGGTTTCAAATACTTCACATACACACTATAAAAAATTTCAAGTATTTTAAGAGCAGAAGTGAATGGCCCACAATTTAAGTATATTTATAACCATCCTTTACTAATATCAACTTTAACTCCACAAAATTCTTGATTGTTGTGAAACTACATGTATGATATTTTTTGAGAAGATAAATGTCACTGAAACCATCTGCTGTTGAAATGAAATTCCTTTATAACAGCAAACTAAACAAAAACACAAACAACCAAAAAAATCATGACTCTTAAGGCAATTAAACTAATAGTAAACTGATCATAATAATGTAATTACTGTAATTCATATATAAACATATTTATCAATTTCTCATGAAGTTTGATCCCATGCTTCATGTTGTATATCAATTAACATTTCAATACTTAAAGAATAAACTTGATACATTTTAATAATCCACCCCATATAATTTCTTTAACTAGTTTCTCTTATTGTTCTTAAAAATACTTAGTTTCAAAGTATGAAGCATTTTTAAACCAGGTGAAAAATAAAACAAACCTACCGTATATTTTGCACAGATATGTACCAGAATGACTGAATAATAGTTTTAATGTAATCTAAGTATACCTCATAAATATTACAAACATTTAATATGGCTAAAAGCATTCACTCCCAAAATGCCTCATAAAAGTTCCAGAAATATGTGCAGAGATTTTACTGACCTTGAGAGCGGAACGCAGAACCACAACTTCCCCAGTACTCTGAATCCAGGGTTCACCGTCTACTTGTACAGGCATTTCAGAGTTGAGACGAATTCGGAGCTAAAGAACCAGAATGTTCAATTAACTGTTTTCTTCTCTTAGTTCAATAAAATATAAAATTTTTAATAATAAAATAAATGGAAGAAAATACTTAAAAACTCCAAACACAACTATTCATAAGAAAAATTTAAAAGTAAAACATGCAATTTCAAACAATCTGTAGTCATTAAAATGAAGGTTCTTATTACATTATTATCTATAATAGACCACAAGGAGTTAAACTTTTTTTCAACATGTTCAACTATGTAAACAAAAATCACTTATACCCTTGTAATTTTTAAATGTCATTAAGAATTTGTAGGTTTAAATGCTTTTTTAATGATTTAAAACTTGAAAGATAGCATTTTCTGACACTGAAAATGTATTTCTAATAGATACCTCCACTGACAAAATAGCTTTTCTCAACTAGCGCTGCTCTCTGTTGGCACAAATTTTCAATGCACGTCACTACCCTTCCACCTCCCACTTCTGCATATCCAAATGCAAATGATCATGCAGTAGCTCTCCACCAATAAGAGTGCAACACCACTCCTATGGTAACTAGCTCCCTTTCATATCTGCACTCGTTAATCATTACGAGACTGGTCAGAAGACCTACACCATATATCACTAGAAGTAGGGAGACTGGTTTGGAATTGATTGGAGGTAAGTATCTATTGGAAATACATTTTCATTGTAGGAAAATGTTAACTTCTGATACAATATCTTATCTCTTCTCACAAAATAGCTAGAATCCCACAATGAACTGGTGGAGAGCTGATAAAAAAAAAGATCCCCCCTATAGGAAGTGCCCAAAGAGAGAACAGAAGGTGTGGAACCAAAAGAGAAAACATCACACCTCAGCAGGAGACTGCACCACATCTGATCTAGGTGTACTCTTCACTTATTTATGACTGTGTCATGAACATAAAAGGAAGAAAAACAGGAAGGAATCCCAGAATGTGCATCACCAACAAATGAGATTCCTGGATATCGAGTGGCTAGAGCACGACAGACCATAGTAGTAGTTTGAAACTCATCCAACACCAGACAGTATCTGATAGAGATGTCATCCCGGCAGGGCTTTCCACATTTCTACTGTCTGCTGGATGTAGATTTCTGGTGGATCTGGTGTTAGTTGTGTTGTAAATTCATGCAAGTGGAGACAGATTTTGGTACGGAATCTCGACATCCATACCAATTCCCATTTCAAAGTGAAGAAGTAGGTGATCCTCTACATACTGCGAATCTGATTTACCAGATCTGTTGGTTCCCGTTGGATCTGGAATTGGTTGCATCTGGATGCAGCACATGATTTCCTGCTTGTGTACAGCCAAATATCCTACTTCTACCACAGACTGAAAGTACCATACCCATTGCTGGCAGGTTTTGTACCTATCACACTTCCTACCATGGACCTGATGTACAATTTCAGATGCCACCAGGTTTTGGTTGTAGCACTATACTGTATTCCTGTCTATATATATCTGTACCCATTTTTTTTTTCCTACTGTGGCATTCCTCTTTCCATTCCCAGTGGGTTTGGTTTTGGTTGGAGATGGTCCTGTCATGATTAGTATCATGTGTAGATGGCATGAAATCCTTCCTACTGCAGATCTGATGTTCAATTCCAGATGCTGCTAGGTTTTAGTTGAAGCACTCCTCCATGTCATGAATATATATATGTATATTTTATTGCAGTTTGTCCCTCAAGCTGAGACGTTCCTCCTACCTACCATCATCTGGATGTACAATCCTGGTGGGTCCAGTGTTGGATGGAGATGTTTCAGCTAAGTAAGTCCTCACGCATGTGCTGGCCAGGATCCCTCCTCCAACCGTGGACTGGATGGCAAATGCCCACTGCCACAAGGTTTTGGTCTAGAGATGCACCCCAGGTTTGCGGACCCTTTGCCCTACTCTCAACTGAGTGGTATGATACATCACTCAGAAGGAGAGGCCTTCATGGCCCACCACCCCAGTGGCTAGGAACTAGTAAGTGGTAAGGACTCCCATACTCCACTGGAATTGTACATCAGGTCTGTGGTAGGAAAGGCTACAACGTAATTGACATCAAGCATGATTGCAGGATGGACAGTGCAGATTTAAAAAAAAAAAAGTATAGTCGGTCAGGCACCACTTGCCATAGAGTGGGATCCACAATACACTAGCAAAAGGCCACTGAAAAAGTTTGAAAAGTGTGAAATAAAAAAAGCAACCTTTCACAATACCAAAATGCAAAAATTTAAATAAATAGTAAAGAAAAACTTAGTCAGTAACATAATGGAAAACATCTACAAATCTGCAAGTAAATACCAACACGTCTGTACAGTATTACTGCCAATCAAGAAATGATTAATGAGTGCAGATGTGAAGTGAGTGCTAGTTATGATGGGAGTGGTGTGCTCCTACTGGTAGAGAGCTGCTGCATGTGGATATGCAGAAGCAGGAGGTAGAAGGCTAGTGGCATGCGTTGAACATTTGCACTGATAGATGGCAGTGCTAGTTGAGAAAAGTTATTTTGTGAGTGGAGGTAAATATCATATCGGAATTATGATTATTAATTTTATAATAAATGTCATGTATTCATAGGTTTGGCCCCCCAGTTGTAGAGCAGTAACTCTTAAGGACTTATAACACTAAAAATCTGGTTTCAAAACTCCTGGTGGGCACAACACAGATAGAACGCTGTGTGACTTTGTGTTTGATAACAAATAAATCATAAATTTAGTTACTTTCATCACTTTTTTTCTCTCAGTTAACGATATTCCAAATAACTACCCTATGTTTTTCTTAATTTTGTGGTCTGGTATCTTAGTGAGTAGCTTTTAGGCTGTTGTTATGATTAGGTATTGAAATATGTACATATTAAAATTATTTATAAACAAAAATATATATATGTATTCAGGAAAATTTATCCTTAATAACAAAAATAAATAGAATTGAGGAAATATCTATCAATTCTTTTTCATTTTCAACACCTCAAAAATCTTAATCAATAATCTATTGAACTATGAGAACTCACGTGTCCTCCCTGGGCAATCCTGATGCCATTCCGGAGTCCACTCTGGATCTGTCCCATGTGGACTACTCCTGTAACTCCAACCACTTCCAACATCCCATCATAGTGGTTAGGCTTCAAAAATTGGTCTTCTCTTTCAGGGCCCCAGGGATTAGCACCTGATCCCCAGCTAAAATGAAATCACATAACATCAGATGGATTAACTTACTTCACATTACTGACATTAAGAAGCAGTAGTGGTAAAGTACATTGGAACTAAAGCAAATAATATATATGAAAAGTACAAACTATAAATACTGGTAAGATAAACACAAACTAACAGTTATGTAACGATGTTCACATTTTTTGCATCAATTAAAAATCTATAAAGTAAAACTAAGCCAGAACTTGAATATATGAGCGTTTCCACCATGAGTAGTGCCAACAATTTATTACTGCTCTTGCAAAGATGCAAGTTTGGAAAATGTCATATAAAAACTTGGTGAAAGTGTACATCTTTTGCTAACAACATGTTCCCCTTACATTCATTAAAAACTTGTCTTTGAGCATGCAGTAACAGTTTGTAAAAACATCCCACAGTGAAATGAATAATAACATTTTCTTAATGCAACTGAATTTCATAACCTCCAAATCTATGAACTATTTACCTTAGAATATTAAGAATGATTATTCCTTCAACTGGAGGGAGATCCACAATTTTACCATCCACTTCAAGACGGACTTCTTTGTTAAAATCTCTCCATAATTTTCTACCCACCATTTTCCTAAGGCCCATTTTGAAATAAACTCCTTTATTATGAAGTCTGGAACAAATAAGTAAAAGGAATTAAAATTGAAATGGTTTTCAAATGCATATAATTGCTTTAGCAGGATGCTACCAATGGAACATTCATTTAGAAAGTATTCATAAAAATTGTTACAGCAGTTTGATGGATGTACGTAGAGTACAATAATGTTTATTTTTAGGTGCCATGTAAATAAAATCTTAAAAAATAAAAATTGTATTTGTATTAAAAATTGTATCTGAGTTGTACATTTAATTTTAATATTTTAAAGCTCTTTTATAATCTACAGAATATTTCAAGGACCTATTTCTTTTAATATAAGTGATGCAATATCAGATTTATCTTGCACAAATTAAGGTTTTTTCACGCATTGGTGAATAATTTCTTACCTACTGTTAAACTTGTTAGGGTTTTCTTCTCGAGCATTATGAAAATCAAGACAGAGATCAGCATCAATTCCAATTCCAAAGTAATTATTCATCACAAAGATGGCAGTATTGTCCTCAGATGTGGACCCAGAGCTATTAGTCACAATTCCAGGCTTATCATCTGTTTTTTCATCAGAATGAAACACTACAGTCCACCTATACACATAAAATATTTTTATTAACACCCAGGATTTATAACATTATATCTTAAATTCATCAGTTACATCTCTCCCAAATACCACTCTATGTACATTTATGTAAATATGCAATGAATTAAATAATTAGTCTTCAACGATCATATAAAGTCTAACGAGACATGAATCATTACAAGAACAGAATCCTTCAGCTTAATACTTTTGACATTTTAATTAAAATCACATAACAAGGTTTATGTACTACCTGATACTCAAATCCCTGCTTACCTATCTAATCTAATCTCTTCTGCATCAATAACATCCTTGAGCAGTGTAAGCGGTTCCTCTCCACCTGTGTAGCCTGGACCCCAACGAAGAACCCGAGCAAGGTCATTGCCTGTTCCAAGAGGCAGGATAGCACATGGAGGGGACGAGCACTCTGAGTCTTGACCAACATTATCCAGACACTGTAGTGTCCAGCCTACTGTACCATCTCCACCACAGACCAGAATCTTATAGTCTTTAACTCGTCTAAACACATACAGGCTGCAAAAACCATAAATATATTTACTTCTTGTTATGATCCATAATTTTGAAGTTAATCAACCTAACAAAACTAAATTTTAAATCCCACAAATATTTCTCTTACAAGTATTACTTTTCACCACAGATACAATGGCTTTTGTATATCAACATAGAATTCAAGTTACAGAATTTTATTTGTTTATCACCTTAAAAGAAACATGTTGTAGGACAGTCTTATTCTAGAATTTGACTTTCATTAAAGGACCTACTGTTTTATTACATTTCTTATATAGGTTATTACAACAGTTTCAAATTCCACCTTTAACTATAGCTGTAGTCTTGTACTATGTATGTAATAAGAACTAATTGAAAAGCTAATTTACCCAGGCAGAGGTCCTCCATTCTCAAGGTCGTAAACTTGGTAAGGATTTAACAATTTTCTGAACGATGATAAGAGCTCAAGTCCCTGACAGCCACCACTCTTTACGTTAACGAACACTAACAATGGCTGTAAATAAAAAACACCATTACCAACAGCTGATATACTGAAGTAAAAAACAAATTAGTTTAGTAATTGAAAATCACTTAATTTCACAGTAACGCAGCTTTGGAAACAAAACAATATCACAAATAACAGATACAACATTTTAACTGCACAGAACAGTGTTTATTAAAATCATTACTCTTCACATTGATAAAAGTTAAGAAGGCCTAAGCAAAAGATTATCACTAATAACAGATGCAACGTTTTAACTGCACAGAACAGTGTTTGTTAAAATCATTACTCTTCACATTAATAAAAGTTATGAAAGCCTAAACAAAAGAATATCACTAATAACAGATGCAACGTTTTAAATTCACAGAACAGAGTTTGTTAAAATCATTACTCTTCACATTAATAAAAATTAAGAAGGCCTAGACAAAAGAATATCACTAATAACAGACGCAACATTTTAACTGCACAGAACAGTGTTAATTAAAATCATTACTTTTCATATTAATAAAAGTTAAGAAGGCTTAAACAAAAGAATATAATTTTAAAAGATGTTATTCTGAATGTGAAGAAAACACCAACAATAGTCAAAAGACAAAATGCCACTGACAATAACTATTTAATTATCACTTTTCAAATTAGTAATGTCAATGTTCATATACACAGTTACCCACATTATCATACAACACCACTACTCAATCACTTAACTCACCTATTAAATTAACATTTTAAATTATTACACTTATTATTATTTTTCACATTCCTGTTAGTGTTACCGTAATCAAGTTTTATAGAACAAAAATGAGGGTGAAAAATTAGGCTATTATGAACAGGTCCAGTTGAACCTGATAAGCATAAATTCAACTAGATCTGAAATGAATTCTAACAGTTCATCACTTTTTTTTACCTTCAATTCTAGAAACACGGTACAGTGATAAACTGTCTGTGAGCACTTTTTTAATACTTAATTCTTGAAAAAAATAGAGCAGTAGTGAAATATATCTATCTTTAACTGTAAAACTTAAAAGTTCTAATTATCTTGAGATAAAGTTTTGAAACTGACATGCCTAGTAAGGCAAAACATTTAATTAACATTTTTTTTGTAGCTGTGCTTTTAAAGACCATTATTAGATTATAAAAATATTCTAATTAATAAAAAACTAATACATTTAATATGTGTGTGTGTATTTATTATAGCAAAACCACATCAGGCTGTCTGTTGTGTCCACTGAGGGGAATTAAACCCGTGATTTTAGTGTTGTAAATCTGTAGACTTACCATTGTCCCACTGGGGGGACATACATTTAATCTTATAGTGTATTTTTGTGTTGTAATCAGAGGCATGACGCATTATATATTATAAGCCTAGAAAACAGGATCTATTAAATAAATGAAGATTTTAACGCATGCAGAGTAAATTATTAAAAACAAGTCATGCCACAATTTTCACAACCAAATGCTCAGTCACCTCCAAGTATAATTAGCTATATAAACTATGTACTTAAAAGTGTTAATGAAAAAAATGAATAGTAGAGCCAACAGAGAACATATTTCTGATCCTAACAGACATGCAGAAAAATGATTTAATCGATACTCAAATATTTTATGTGTGCATAAAATATCCTCACTTGTTTAATTTGCTGGGAAATCATAAGAACAGATTATATGCTAAGTTAATTGAAATTATAACAACAGCCATTAAAGCAATAAATAACTGAAATATCAAAAAGCATCTGACATGAGACTGATATATGACACTGGTTGTTATAGAAAAGTACATGAAAATGAAACAACATATAGAATTAAAGAAATTCTATGGAATTAATATCTTAACATTAGTAATTTTTATAGGAGTATTACAAAACTAGTATCTTAACAAAAACAACAACTTCTAATTAGGACTTTTTTCTTGAAAATATATACTTTTTTGACATTAAGACTCCAAACACACATGGATCAAGGCTACTCTCTTCTAGCTCCAATCAGTCGACACTTTATGCTAAAATTGTGCAAGATTTCCAATAACCTATGTGAGATTACAATTATACTTTGTATCATGTGCTTGACAGTGTCAAAACCTCCTGCACACTAGCTTCTAACAGCAGACGGTTGTGATGTGATGATCTTTTCACAGTACTGTTCAGTTACAGACAGTTATTAATTGAAGTTGTAAAGCTTCTAAGTGCTGGAAATTCAAGTATACTACAATCTGAAACTTAACATTATACTGCTATTAAAACTTACAGTGATTGTTAAAATTAACAAATTTGACATAAAACAATTCAACTGGTCTCACTAGTGTATTTTGTGCCATAAAAGTAGGAGATGCAGTAAACTGTACACTTCTGAGAACAATAAATCCAAACAAGCTTTACATGCATACATCAGTAACTCACAAATGGCTTTGTCTCATAAGATATTTTCCACATTATACAAGAAAATATACTTTTTCCTCATTCATATCTATTTAATCATTAACACTTATTTCAAAAGAAAGATGCTTAGGTAATAATTAAAATATTTCTACAGATACAGATTATTTTATAAATCCATTAACTCTTTCCAAACTGGAGAAGGGCTTGGAAAAACATTAAAAATACTTCCTTTCATCTTAGAATTAAATATATGTTTTTACTGTTCACCAGAAGTTCCATTTTATATACACACTAGCTGAATGCCCATCATAGGACAGTAAATGATGTTTAATTTTTCTTTTGAAAATTGTATCTAAATAAAAGTTTTATCAACATGTTTTCAGAAAAAATAATTATACAGTAGTTTAGAATTTTCCAACATTGAAAATGTATTTCTGATAGATACCTCCATTCACAAAATAGCTTTATTCAATTAGTACTGCCCTCTATCAGTGCAAATTTTCAATGCTCCACCACTAGCCTTCCACCTCCAACTTATGCAAATCCACACGAAAATGATCGTACAGCAGCTCTCCACCAATAAAACCTATATAAATAGATGCAACCATAGCAGAGAGAAAGCATTTTCCTACACTGGAAATGTATTTCTGATAGATATCTCTTCTCACAAAATAGCTTTTCTCAATTAGTACTGCCCTCTATCAGTGCAAATTTTCATTGCTCAACAGCTAGCCTCCCACCTCCTGCTTCTGCAAATTCACATGAAAATGATCGTACAGCAGCTCTCCACCAATAGAACCTATATAAACAGATGTGACCTTAGCGGAGAGAAAGTTTATGTTCATTAATGGCAGGAAATAAGTTCAACAAAAAGGATGTAAAATACCACTGGCAGAACTTTGATCAGAAGGAAGCTGAGGAGAAATACATGCAAATAGATAGTCAATTTAAAGCTTTTGACAATAACCAAGTAACAGCTAGTTTTGGTTGATAAGACAATGGAAGACAACCAATTGGAGAAAGGCTCTACTTGCAAAATAAGCATGTAGAGCTATTTAAATCACTGTAAAAATACACCAAACAGTGTATAAAAATTAATGTTTTTGGCCAAAAATTAAGTTCTCCCACACTGAAGAGCAGGCCATTGGTCTTGCTGTTTAAGAGTTCACTACCTGATGCTATCTGATCCAACTGCTCCTAAACCAAGAACATCATTGAAGATGTCCGTACTACAAGATGTTATAAATTTCCAACATTGAAAATGTATTTCCAGTAGGTACTTACCTCCTCTCACATAAATGGTTATTCACGTTCAGTGCTGCCCTCTATATGCAAAATGTTTTTAACAAATGCCACAAGCCTTTTATCTTCTCTCGATTGGAATTGACTGATTCCAATGCCTCTCTCATGCAAATCACCATGCAACAACCCTCCACTAATAAGAGTGTGACATACTCTCATGACACATGACTCCCTTTATTCAATTCTACCGAATTATCACTTCGAATTTTGGCAGAAGATAAAAGCACCAGTTTTCAGTGGGGAGGAAGGGTGAGAGGAGGTAAGTACCTATCAAATGCATTTTCAATGTAGGAAAATTATAACTTCCAATACAGTACATTACCTCTTCTCACATAAATAGCTAGAATCTCACTTTGAATAGGTGGAGGTACAGGTGTGAGGAAAAGAAAAAGCATTCTATGAAAACCTCCAAAGGACACTCCCTAAGATGAGACAGTCAGATTCTAAGATCAGATGTGGGGGAACTGCACCAATTCTGAACCAAGTATACTCTTCGCCCATTGTAAAAAGATGTCGCATACATGGGTGGAAAACAGAGGAGCACATCCAACTGGGAGAGAACTATGCCCTGAAAGTGATCAGAGCCATGCAATATTTATGAATTTCAATCCCACAAATTATAAAAGTGGGTAAAATGAAAAGGATGTGCCCCTAGGTGTAGAGTGGCTAGGGCACAACGGATTTTACGGCAAGTCAACTACATCCAAAACCCATGCTGCTAGGAACCGACATCCACAAAGGGGTAGGATGAGGATCATACAATCAGTAAGTCAACTACAATCCAAAATCTGCCCACCAGGATACCGACATCCATGTGGGAGTAGGAAAGAAGATCATACTATCAGCAATTGGAGTACAATCTAAAACCCAGGCCACCAGGAACCGACAGCCATGTGGGGGTAGGAAAGAGGATCATACCATCTAGTACCTCCCAACACATGAACAGCAAACATGTGAATATGATAAATTGATAGATCGATCCAGAAACCTGACATCCAATATCGAAAATATGTCAACATAATGTAAATCATCTCCCTCAAATGTGAAATTGACTGAAACTACCCCAAGCACATTAACAACCTCGGAATAAGAAACATAGAGATATAAAGGCAGGGAAAGAACTGTAACAATCCGCAAGTACCTCCACCGTGACCCACAACACTGATGGAGTATAAATGAGGGAAGAGTATAGACATCTGTAATACATGTGTGAGGACTTATGTTGATTGGTTATACTCTAAATCCTAAACCAGTGCACTAGGAACCAACATCCACGTGGTGGTAGGATGAGAGATCCTAATCAAAGGGATGAACTACAATTTTGACGTCTCACTCCCA